ATTTATATTGTTATAAAAAAAAAGGTATGAATGGTTTGATGTACGTATTATATCATAATTTATTTTAAACGAAAATTATGTTATAAATCAAAAATCTCGTAACGAGAAAATATATTTATTTTTATTCTGCCATTCAGCGACTCAGCCACCCACCCATACACCACCCGGCTGTATCAATAGTACTGCTCGCAAACAGTAGGTACTGTGAACCAGGTAAGACAGCTTCCAAGGCTGTTCCCTATTCACCCTCTACATTGCATCTATTGTATAGTCTATGTAGTCCTGTGGATCATGGCTCCGGCGCACCACTAGCTACACACCCATTCGGCGCAATTTTCCCGGTTGTACCTCATTCTACATCTGACGTAGGTATGCAACGCGCAGACGCGAGCTTTCCACAGATTTCCCAGGGACCTGGGCCTGTGTTCGTGATCGCGTTACTCTTGCAGGCACGCCCGGACAGCTCAGACGCCGCACAGATCGCTGTTCAATCTTCATTCCAAAATGTCTGACACCACAGATATGCCACACTCAGAACAGGACAACGTTAACCTGTCACAAAGCTCGGCCGACAGCATATTAGACTGGTCGCAATTTTACGATATGTTCATGAATATTGAACAACGTTTGCCAAATTTTGATCACATGTTGATGGCCATGAATGATTACGCTTTTCAGAGGTAAGGTTTTCCTAACAATTATTATACGATAGCTACTTTTATAAATGAATAATAAATTAATACAACTTGTAAAAATACGTATCTATATATTATTATATTTAAGATTATAATATGACCTATCACCCACATTATCCATGGTCGTCTCACGTATTTTGATCTCTATAACGCACACTGTACATAGGTAATGTATTTTATCATCGTGTAATAATGAAATAAATCATACCCCCTGCCACCACTCTAGTCATGCGTTTTACGACCACATAGTGGATACCCCCCCCCACACCACAACCCCAACCCAAAAAACACTGTTTTTAGATTACTCCATCTATAGCTCGACATATGTATTATACCGTTGTTGTAGACCGGTTACACCGCTTTCTTGTAGTGGCAATACACCAATCGAGTATTTTTTCAAAACGTTTTTATAAATATTAAAATTTATTTTTTTGGGCACGTTTAACCTCTACACATACATTCATTCAGTGTTAACATTTTGCCGTGAATCGCATTTCTACATACCTACATGATTATACAGGGTGATTGATTTATCATACAACACTCATTATTTCAAAAAGTATTGACTTTTTCAAAATATTTTYTTACATGGTTTCAAGTTGTTAAAAAACCAACGTTTTTATTAAAAAATTATATTTTTAAATATTTTTTATCCTTACATTTTTTTAAGTTTTTTACTTTTTTGAATGACAACATATAGAGTTTTAATTTCATATTCCAAAGCAGAATATTTTTCTAAGTATTTTGATACATAGAAATCGAATTTGGGGCTAGTAGTTTATGAGTTATAAGTATTTAAAGTTTAGACAAACGGAGTAGTGGACAAACATTTTGCGGGGTAACCCCGTACCCTCCACTCTGCCCATCTAAACTTTAAAGTTTAAATACTTATAACTCATAAACTACTAGCCCCAAATTCAATTTTTATRTATCAAAATACTTAGAAAAATATTCTGCTTTGGAATATGAAATTAAAACTATATGTTGTCATTCAAAAAATTAAAAAACATAAAAAATGATAAGGGTAAAAAATATTTAAAAATATAATTTTTTAATAAAAACGTTGATTTTTTAACAACTTGAAACCATGTAAAAAAATATTTTGAAAAAAGTCAATACTTTTTGAAATAATGAGTGTTTTATGATAAATCAATCACCCTGTATAGCATATGTTAGAGATATATGTACCTACCTATAATGGAGTGGTACCAAAATCACACAGCCCATTTGTGTTCAACCCCCTCACCCCTCCAAAACTACCTCACCATAACTTAGTTATTTATTGATCCACTACCCTTTAGGTGTACTCACCCCGGCACCACCCTTCTGCGCATTAAGTACCTATTGTGTTCATCAGTCTTTTGTTAACGCAAAAAAGGTATTTCTTCTACTTATTCACGCATATAATATAAAGTATGAAAAATAGGGCATGGTTTTAAAYATATATAAATGCTACCCTATGAATTTTTATAGGTAACAATCGCCTATAAAATTTTCATATTATTCAAATAATTATCAACTCGAATGAGTTTTGTACATCAACGATCTTGTTATTATCTTTTCATATAATTTTAATTTTAATCGACACCATATAGAAAGCACTATTAAAAATCTCTAAAAGTTTTGGACTTATAAAACGCAATTAATGTTAATTTAAAAATCTACGATCATTTATACTATTATACAACGCATTAGTTAGGTAAACATCGGAATATGGTTCGATTATATGGTGACCACACACTAAATCAGGTATTAACAGTATCAAATGTGTACAGAATCGTTTGAAATTCATATCTAACCAATTTAATATACACCCATATACAACCATAATTACAATCTAATCAGATAAATTTTAATAATCAAACTTTTAGTTAAACAAACAATATTGTTTACATATTATTTTTTATTATAAATGAATAAGTGCACGCACGCGAGCACTCTTTCATACACTCAGTATTATTACGTCAGTAGGTATGCGTGGTCAACAACCACCCCACCCCATAACTAGCTTCTTTGTTAAAACATCAACCCCTAAAATAAAATAATTGTTTATTGATTCACCCACCACCATCTCCCTTTTGACACTRTACAGTGCGTCGAGATGTATACGTCAAGATTTCCACTCAATTTCTTTACTGTTGATCTTGAGCATAACATGTTTTTTACAGATCGGATCGTAAAATATTATTTTCAAAAATATCCTAAGAAAAGTCCTAAGAGATTTATACTTGTGATCTAATAAACTATTTGTACATTGTACTTTTCAGAGATATTGAAGTTGAGCATTGAAACATTAATTCTACTACAAAAACTTTCTCAGATACACAAATATCATACATTATTGTACAATTAATTCATAATTCATTTCTCCATTCAGAATTTACAGTCATGAACAATTTTTTTTTTTTTTCTCACCTGATTGGTAGTGTAAATTAATAATAATAATAGTTCATTTATTTCATCCATAAAAATTATCAGATATTGCTCAGTTATCATATCATAGTAAAAGAAATAATCTATATAAAACCACGATAGTAGAAGAATTAACACCTATTTGATCTAATAACATAATATTATCATGATTTTTTTAGAACTTCAAGACAAAGACAAACAAATGATTTAAATGAATTTTATGGAGTGATTAAAAAAGGTCTTATTGATTGGTATACAAATAGTATTGAAAATAAAATTAAGTAAGTACCTACAAATGTATATTTACTACATAACAAGAATTTCAATTTGGCTTGCTCATGTTTTTTTATTCCATAAAATGAAACGTTCAATAAACTAAAATATCCAATAAATACTTAACAAAATAATTAGGTATTTATTGGATATCTATATATAAATATTATCTTATGATGATTAGAATATAATTAATGCACTATCTGTTTTTAATTAAATTTATTCTATTACTATGTTTATTACTTTATTATAATACCAGTTATAAGTTTACTAATGTGTACGAATTTTATATAGTAGGACACCTGATTTTATCGATTTGACAAATCATGTTTTTGGTGATGACATAATGCAAGTTGACAAAAAACTAGTTAGTACTACAAGTCCTAAAACCGAAACTAATAAAATTACAGACACTAGTGGTAATGCAGATGCTAGTAAAAGTACTAACACAAGTGCTAATAATACTGATGCTAATGAAAGTACAAGCACAAGTGCTAATAATACAGATGCTAATGAAAATACAAACACAAGTGCAAACACAAGTGCTAATAATACAAATGCTAATGAAAGTACAAACACAAGTGCTAATAATACAGATGCTAATGAAAATACAGACATACGTGCTAATAATACAGATGCTAATGAAAATACAGACATAAGTGCTAATAATACAGATGCTAATGAAAGTACAAACACAAGTGCTAATAATACAGATGCTAATGAAAGTATAAACACAAGTGGTAATACAGATGCTTGTGAAAATACAAACTTAAGTGCAAACACAAGTGCTAATAATACAGATGCTAATGAAAATACAAACACAAGTGCTAATAATACAGATGGTATTAAAAGTACAGCCACAAGCCCTAATGAGGATCCTATTGATATTGAAGAAGCTGTTGCTAAATTAAGGGATCGTTTGTATGCTGAAGAAGGTATCAATACTAAAAGGGCTAGTGCACATTTCTTTAATCGTTTAAATATTGCAAAACATTTAAAATATAAGTAAGCAATAATTTAATTCAATTTAATCTTAGAATTTTAAATTTATAATTATAATTTTTTTAGTTACAGCCATAAAGATAGTATGAAAGCATCAGAAATGTCTAAGTCAACTGAGACAAATGTTGACACCGAGGAWAGTTTTAAAATAATAATGCCTAATATGACTAAATATAATACAATCCAAAGGTGGGTTGTAATTTAAATTTACAAATATTAATAAAATATAATATAGGTTATTGCTATATAACCCAACTTCACCCATGATAAAATATGGTATGAAACTACCTATATTCGTGTTTCATGGCTTTAGTGTATCTCAGTTAAATGGGCATCAATGTACCTTGCTTTGTGAAATAATTCGACCAAGATTGTCTATCGACCTATTTTGGATTGGCTATAGAATTTAAAATATATTTTAACGCGGTCTTAACTGCTCTACGAAAACTACATTTTTCTGATATTTCCAAAAACAATTTTTGAAATTTTCGTTAAAATCGATTTAGTAGTTTTTAAGTCTATACGAGTATAAGCTGCGAACATCAATCGGACATTGCCGATTAATGTTGATTTTAATAACAAATAATCTTTTTTATTTTATTCATTTAAAAAAKCCCATACTATCCCAGGTTGGGTAATCGATGGTAATCCTATATTACTATGCATTATAATATAAGCAATAAAGTACTCATAAAAATGCATTAGTGAAATCTAGTAATTTATAAATTATAACCTATAGGTAGGGGTAGTAAAATGAAGCTATTAAACTCCAGGTTTCTGGAAATATGATGTGTACAAAATTTAGCGCCAAGCGCTTCAGTATTTTCAAAACCTATAAGTAAGCGCCAATTAACGGACATACAGATATTTATACATATTATACACAGACCAATTCGAATTATTGAGCATTTGAAGATCCACTGTATTAAATTTTCATAGAAGTTAAGGATTTTTTAATTTGAATTTATTTCAGTTAGAAGACTTATCCATTAATAGGGAACGGAAATTCTCTAAAACCCAAAAAAAATGACTTAATAAAATATGATTCAATGCACTCTTAACAAATTTTTTTTTTAGCACAATAAAATGTACTGTAGTCATTAGTGTACAAATATTTTAAGAGTTTTTGAATACAATCCTCTAAAATTCAAAATCTTAATTTTTGTCTCAAATAAAGGTAGACCTACTTTATCTTAACAATCTTAACAATAGAACCCTTGTGATTTATTTTTCTCGTCATAAATATGAAAATATTTCGTGCCTACCTACATACATTTCCAAAATGTTTACGTTATTATTTATTTTAATTTTTCAGGAAGAGACTTCCTATCGATAGTAATATCCATCTTGGAAATGATTATGAACGTCATTGGTGGAGACAAACAAACGATAAAATTATTTTATATGTAAGAATACTTAAATTTGACGCTCAGCAAATCACGTTTAGCTGCGTTAGTTTAAAATTTAGAGTGAATTGAACTATTATTAAAATTAAAGATAACATTATTATCTAAGGCTTCWCATAGGCTTTTAATTATATTTTAATTTTGAAATTAGTTATGAGTATTTTAAAATTATAAATTGTTTGTGTACCTTATTTTATTATCTTAAATACTCTTAACTCGCTTTAAAATTAAAATATAATAAAAAGCCTATGAGAAGCCCTCCATAATAATATTATTTTTAATTTGCATAAGTGGCAAACTCACTTTAAATTTTAGAACTAACGGAGCTATACGTGATCTGCCGAGCGTTAAATTTGTTATGTTACGCACTTGTAAGACGGAGACACACATGCGGGCGTAGCATCCTTTTAATCAATTTTCAAGTATATTGGTGATATCAAGAACTGATGTTACATTGCAACGTATATGCCTCACGCTCATTATCATACATTATAAATTAAGYCATTATAATTAAGCATTATTTGATTCATTATATTCATATGACATGGTTATATTGATATTTTTTTAACTGTCTATAATTCCAATAAGTAACGGAAGGAGAAAGTTGAAGAAATTTAGCTTCAAAATCCTATTTTAATTTCAAAATAAATCTATATTCATTAGCCCTATTAATTAAATTGTATGAGAAAAATATTTTATGTCTATTTACCTATTTTTTTTATAACCACAAAATAATATACTTCATCGTTCATTGATTCACACATATATTCAAAATTTAAGCAGAAAATCGGATAATTAATCTTTTACTTCATATTCTAAAAACTTAATTGAAGACACCTTTAATAGCTTTAAATACCACGCCCATAAATTATTTTTTAACTACACAATACATATAAAATTATTGTATTACACTTTCATGAATTTTATTGCAAATATCAAACTTTAACTTGATAAATATTATATCTGAATATTAATGCTCATTATTATTTAATTCATATTACCACTAGGTATTAGAAAATTTAACTTATTAGTTATACATTATACAATATACATACATCAGTGTTTTTGCGTTATGTTTAGGTGGATATATCTGACTTAATTTTTGAATTAGTTCCAAATATTAAGGTAGAAGTAACCATAATTGGTTTTAAGATTAAAGTAAAACGTTCAAACAAATGGGTTGTTATATTGTCAAATAAGTTTGAAAAAGCTATTGCAAAAACCAAATGGGTAGTCAATAAATACAAACATGTCAAAGTAAGCCGTTTTAAACAAATAATAATATCAACATACCTATACCTGAAATTAATTGTTTTCCTTATAAGCTAACCATTAATAAGAAGGAAAAAGAATTTTGGAGTAAATGTCTGGTTACTGAAACAAGAGAACTCGATACATCAAATTTTAAACATCATTCTTGTTCTAATGAATGCAACACACCCAAACCACCTAAATTAGAAATGCTTAAAACAAGAGAAGAATGTATGGAGGAATTTAAAACATTTATCAATGAAGTAAGTATAAATATCAAAAATGTAATCAGTATTAATTTCTAATTATATACTGTACGTTTAATGTCAATCTACTGTAGACATTTTCTATAAGGTAAAGAAAGATCAAAGATTAAGTCACCAGAAGTAACATTATAAAATGCATAGTTATAATTTATAAAGTCATTTAACTCGACTAGGCACCTATTCAGGGGTGTCTCACCCCACCCCGAAATTTTAACGAATTTAGTAAAAGAGTATTGCTTAATATTTGTATATAATTGAAGTTTTATATTAACCCTCCGCCCAAAAAGCACGCCCCTGACCTATTCAATACGTTAAGCTAAACTTTAGCTAAACATATTGCTTGTGCTAGTGCTTCTCGAGCTTTTTCAAACTACCACCCCCCTAAGTGCTAAGTATTTTTCAACTAATCTTACTACTATTTAAAATTAAAATAATATAAATTAAATGTTTATAATTTAATAATAAATAATATATATATAAGGAAAATAAATGTAAATAAATGTTTAAATATAATTTAAGAGGATAATCAAAATGTTTTGAAATGTATTAATCAGTGAGATGGTTGTGCTTGGTGATTCAAATAAAATTTTTTTACGTTTGGTTCAAAGTTTGTGAGATGAAAACGTAAGTCTCCTCTTTTGACAATGTCGAGTCGATTTTTTTTTTCGTTATGAAATCCTTCACCACACTGAATCCTCGATCAACAAGGTAAGAGGAAGGGAAGGGAATTAATAGTTTCTGTACTATAGTTCACAGTACAGGATAGATTCGACTGATAGTAGACTGGAGCCAAAATTCTGTGAGGTTTTCACCATTCTTAAAACTTGCTTTTAACATCTCGTAAGTGGAAATTTTGATCGATTTTTCTTGATACTGYATTTTTACTGATTCAATATTTACAAATAAATTTATGACCCATTTAGGAACTTCCAGATATTCTAATATCTTCAAAACATTGTGAAAAATCTTAATCCAAAGACTGAAGGTTTTGACAATAAAATTGTATGTCATCAAATGAGATTTTACTGTTCTCGTGTAGATCTGACAGAACTGGAAACTGGCTAAATTCGTTTTCACCAAAATTCTGCTTCCATAAAGTTAATTTTTTTTTGGAAAATAGAAATAAGATTTAGTTGTTATGAGATTGAGCTCGTCTCCTTGAAGTTGCCAATTGATGTAATTGGATTTTGCGAACAAAAATCAGTCATAAAAGTGATATTGCCCACTTATCGCCCAAAACAAGCACACCGCCCCTCCTCAGTACTCTTTCACCGCCAACCGAGAGGCGATATAGCCCCCATTGAGAGGCACTGAGCTAATGATTAATCAAGTTAAAGAACTTAAACAGAAAATATTTATAGTAATTTTAAAAAGTACGAAGTAAATTAAAATTGATAAACTTTTTACTTAGATACCATTACCACGGGATAGTGTTTTTCACTTATACATAAGTACAATAATGTGTTTTTCTAGATATTCATGAAACTGTTTAAGTGCAAGTGTCCTCAAGTTTCCGATTTAATTCTAGACATATGCATACTATAGGTGTACAAAAACATAAATTACTTTAYAAAATAATTTTCACTACCAAACAACAAACTTAAAACTTAATATTTATTTTATATTATTGTACCTATTATAAATTATTGATGAATTTCATAACAAATAACTAATAACCGGTAAAATACGATTGAGAACGTTACGGTTGAGAACGTGATTTTTGGTAACACGATTGAGAATGTTCGATATTTTAATTTGTTTTCAACGTTGCCAAATTTAATCGCACAATAATTTGAGCACGATAATCGGCTTTCGAACGATAAAGAACGTTATATCTTTTTGACTGAACGATTAATACCTACAGTTGATTTTTTATATTTATCGGACGTTTATCGGATTAACCATATGTTATTTGTAACTTTTAAACCAGATATATGAAAGAATAACTTAATAGGYGTTTTAGTCGTCGCACAAACGTCAACGAAGTATTCATATTATAGTCAGTTAAAAATAGCAACGATAGAACATGGTAAAAAAAAAAAGAAATGCCAATAAAACAAAAGGAAAAATTAATTAATATTCATGATAAATATATGTGGTATACATATAGCAAATAAAAGTTCTAATAATTTATTAAAATATCTAGAGTATGTTGGATTATGCTATCCCGCTTTAACTAATTTATAGGTAACTCATTTGTCATAATATGAGTATATAACATATTTATTACATTTTTTATACAYATTTTTATAATATTCTACATGTTTTACTTTTTTTTACGTATTTTATACATATTCTTATAATTCTACATTTTTTTCATTTTTAAACATATTTATACTACATATGACGTTCTTCAAGAATATTTGTTAAATTATAAATAATAAATGATATAGCAACGTTGCACGTAAATTCGTTCTCAATCGTATTTTTTTGGGGGGGTCAGCGGTAAGTTCATTGTTATTTTTAAGTGTTCTCAATCGTTCGGCAAAAAARGTATAGGTAATGTTCTCAATCGTTCGATAGCCCCGATAACATATAAGTACCAATTTGTATGGGTTCCTATCATCAAATTGTTAATAAAATAATGTGTGTATTGTAATTACCTTATAATCTTTTTTAATAGGAATGTGACGATGGAGATATTGATACATTTATGAAAGAAATAAATGATATAGTTCCAATTACAACTAAAAAACCGCAAGATTCAGCTTCAACTTTGAATTCGTCTGTAGATACAAGTACAGTCATGTCTCTGGAATCTGACTCTGAAAATCCCCAAAGTACACAACAATTTTTCATGGACTCTGAATTTCCACTAACTTTATCAGATTGATTTAACACTGAAATCTCTCCAATCAGATTCTCTTATATATTTTAAATCTATTATATCCTCTTCACGTTCTTAATATAAAAGTATTATTAATCGGTAAGACGGTAACAAAATGATGGCAAATATAAAATGTTTAGAACAGATAATTTTAATTTTAAGATAAAATGCTATTGGCTTTTTATATATTATTACAAATAATTACTATTGATTATAAATTATAATTCATAATAACTTTTAAAACTAATATATAACTATATTGTCTATAAAGTATAAGTATGTCTAAACTAGCTGACCCCCGTGCACTTCGTTGTCAGTTAAAAATACCAAATTTATATGATTYAACATTAGTGTTTAATTTTCATATACCTATATTTATAATTTTTGATTACATAGCTTTTACCTGTTATCATACTTTATGAACTTATATTATTATAATTTTATGATTTACATAATTTAGTTTAATAACTATTTAACAGACCTACAAATTAATGAATTTGCATGCTTTATCCTTCATCATATTAAAAAATTGTTTTTGAGGGAATTTGTATTATGTTATTTATAAATCAAATGTGGAATCTTATTTTGTATATTTAATTGGTTGTGGCAGATAATTTTATAAATGCATAACTTCAGCAATTATTTCTGTTCTTACTCTTCTTCACGTTTTGATGATATCTTGCTAATATTTTTGATTGTAAAATTTTAAATGTTTGGCACATTGTGTTTATTATTATACTGTATAGGAAGGAGAATGTTAGATTACCCCTACCTGTAAACGCAACTGGGAGAAGGTATAATGTATTAAGTTATTTTTGTTTTTTAATATAAATCAATTTTTTTCATATTTATATTATAATTATTCATGGTATTATGTATGTTTAGAATTTATTTAATGAATTAATCATTTTTTAATATATTAACTATCAACTACAACAGTATAAGCTAAATAATTAACTGTATTTATATATTTTAATTATTACACTAATATTATATTACTATATTAATGTATACATATAAATGTGTGATTCTAATAAACAAAAGCAAATAATAAGGAACCATTGTTTTTTTATACATAATTAATATAAATGAAAATAAATGTTTGTCTGTACCTACGTCTATTAAGTCTGATTGCGATGAAATTTTTGGAAGTACCTAATAAAGTAGGACATAGGTACACTCCTCCTAAGGTTTCTGGTATAACCTAACGCTATTAAAGGAAAAAATGTTTGCTATTGACCTGAAAAAACCCCGCAGTAAATTCACGAGAGACCTATTCACTCTCCAAAAGTGACCATGTGGTGTGTGATTTCAAAATTTGTAGTGATTGGGCATTATTTTTTTGAGGAGAATGGGCAAACCGTAACTGCCAAAATTCAACATTACATGTTTCGCAGGTTTCCCTGTTAGAACCTAAATTGGAAGAGCTAATGGGGGAAACAGATATGGGGATATTTGGTTCTAATAGGACGGGATTACGGTATATATTCGAGTTATGTGTATGCTCGAGTTTCAATGACGAAGCTGCGACAGATGTTCCCGACGCACCTCTTTGAGGGCTGATGTACTTACGCACTCACGGAATTTGAGCATTTGTAATTTTTTCTTGTGAGGCTATCTGAAAGAAAAGAATTTTAAAAATCAGCCTCACGCCTTGGAAGAACTCAAAAAGCGAATACAATAAGAGATCAGCGCTATACCAGTCGAAATGTATTAAAATGCWGCCAAAAACTTCAGAAATCGCCTTCATCAATGTATCGTAGTTGGCGGCTATCATTTTTCTGATGTCAAAATTAAAACTTAATACATAAAACGACATGATGACATGATGTACTGAAGAAAATTAAATAAACCTTATTTCTATAAGTTGCATTTTTTTTAAATAGACTCAAAACTGCCCTGCTTATTTTGTAGCACCATATAGGTACAATAAATATACAATAGTGAATAGATCGAAGCATATATAAGAATTGAGAAAGGTTGCAGGTTGGCTTGATTAAAAAAACTATTCAATAATATTACTTCATGATTACATTTTTAATGATAATAATTAAAAATATAAAAATGAATCACTGTTCACTGAATTTAGTGAAGAATAGTGTAAAAAAAAATAAAAAAAAATAAAAAAAAAATAAAAAGAAACACTACAGGATATATTGTCAGGAAGGGTATTGTAGGAAAAGTTTATGAATGATACAAATATTTCTCTTGGCACTTAGGATTTTAGAATGTAAATTTTAATAATTTAAGTGCGGACCGTATTAAATTTGTTAAAGGACCTAAAAGGATAAATTTATATTTATGTATTCAATTTGTATTCAGTTTAGTCATTTTTTTTTTTTTATTTAACTCTTATTTATTAATTATTAGGTATAACATAATTTTTATCTCAAATTAATAGACATAATAACATATTATTTATTTGATCTGCTATTTTTTTCATATAATATACTGACAACAGTCATTTAATTTTAAATAAGCCTTTCCTAGTTTTTAACTATAGATGGTTCATTGATTTAGGTCATTGATTTAGGTCATTAATTTTGAATCATTTTTTGATAAAAATAATTTACCAAAAACATGTAAAATGTTTTCTCTAGAAGTGTTAAGACTAACAGCTTAATACAATTATTAAAAAGTAATTTTTTTTAATAAACAATTAAATACATTTTAATCAGGGGCGTTATTTGGGGGGGGGGAGGCAGGGTGTACATTTGCACCAACATTTTTTATAAACCTTCTTTAGCCTGCCAACAATAAATATATGCGCCGATATACCTAAGTGTTATGTATTAATATATTATATATTTTTTATTTTTATTTTTTTTGTGCCATTTTGAACAAGGTAACCCATAAAACAAATTTCAGGTCTAGCTATATTATTTATTTTGAGTGTGCAGGGAGAAAAAATGTATAGGTTAAGTTCGATTAAGTACTATTAAGGTGCTTTATACCCATAAATTTACTTACCAAATACAACTAGCATCCACAATATAATATAAACTCATTAAAAGTACCTACACATAGTTCTTCAAAAATAGTAATAATATTGTGATGTTTTCATACTAATATAGGTGATATATTAAATAAAGTTTTTGTCACCACTTAAACACCCCCCTCCCTTCTTTATCCRCCAAAAAAATCTCCATGTGGCCTTATAATGATTTGAATGGCCTGCAAAAATGTTGGCACCAACARTAAAAAAGTTGAAATGACGCCCCTGATTTTAATAGTTAATATTTTTTAAGTTAAAAATATTAAAATACATTAATTATATGACAACATTTTTGAAAATTAAAATGTAATTCATACTTTATCATCTTATTAAAGTTAATATACATCAGTCATCAGATATCTATACAGTAAAATTATGCATGCAAATTTAATATGAATAACGTTATTGAATATTACTAAATTTATTTTAAGTATAAATTATATAAAAAGACATTAATTAAAGATAAAAATAATTATAAGTACACTGCTTGTAAATGTTTAAATTTAAACAATACTTACACATACCTAACGATTATTTTTATAATTTGCATAGTCAGTGAAACCTATCATAAAAAACACATGTATATAATAGACATCTCTCTCCAGCAAACAATATGATAATGTTTTGGTAAAAAGAAAGTTCTTCAAAAGTCCCTGTCTTTAACAGACACTTTTGACGGTCCAGTGGCTATCCATTATATTATACAGGTTTTACTGTAACATCAAAATTGTATAAAAATTATCCTTCTAATCTAATACAGTAGTTTTCAACCAATCATGTTTCTCCGCAAATTTTGTATTACAATATATTTTGATAGAACATTATAGCTATATAATACATGAAAAACATTGCAAAATTTCTATTTATAATAAATAATAATAAATATATACTATAGGCATATAAATAAAAAACATGATAGTGACATACCTACCCACAACCAGTTCACAGCTAATTCATGTGTTGAAGAACACCGGTGAAGAACCACTGATCTAATACCCACATAATATTTGTAAAATGAAATATTGATGATGAAATAGTTACATAATATAATAGTGAATACRGAAATTAAGATATATATAATACAACAAAACTGTTATTAACATACTATTAATGAAAATGTTACACATTAAAAAAAAATTGTATTATCTACTTATTTTAACATAATTTACCAAGTACCTACAAACAATTAATATTAATAATGACTAGATTATTATTTTTAAATTTAATAAAACTAATTATAAAAATATTTATAAAAAAAATAATTATAATGAAAACAAAATATTTAAAGATAGATAACACATTTAAAAATCCGTTAAAAAACTTAAAGAGTTTAACTTATTTAAACTTACATAATCCTATATATTATAGAAACCTTAGTAACAGAATACAAGCACAATATTGTTTTATCTTTCATATTAATATACATTCGGTCAAAAAAGTTTCCATACACCTTTTTTCAAATAAATGTTTTTGTAAATACTTTAAAGATCCAAAACATTAATGATTGGCAATTGAACCACAAATTAATTCAGCATATATTTTTTATATTTCAATAAAATAAAATATTTTTATTTATAAAATATGATATAAATAAATCACTTATAAAAAAAATTTAAACAAAGAATACACCAAAAAGTGTTCATACATTTACAATATAATTYATTAATTGGGCCAGTTTTCTTTCTTTAGTTAATAGAGTGTAGCTATAATTAATCTTTTCCTTTAATAGCATCAATCAAAATCAAACAATGCTTCATACTACTTACTAATTTTATAGTGATTTCTGGGTTAATTGCATTAAATTCTCTTAAAATTGCATTTTTAAACTGCTTCCTATTTCATCCCAAAGATGTTCAATAAGGTTTATATTAGGCAACAGTAGGGATGTATGGAGTTATTTAAGAATATTATATAATATGTATCAACAACTCCTTAACAGGTCTTGCCTTGTGTTTTGTTGAAAAATAACTGAAATCCCCAAACTCAATTTGTCCACATTACCTACCTTTTA